AATTAAGGGCCAAGGTACCATTTTCAAACTATCTATAAATTTAAATTTAGGCAGTTATTTGAATCCATTATAGCAATAATACAAATGAATTGCCACTGCACCCTATTGAGAAGCCTTGGTTTCTGAAGGTTATGATTAGTCTGTATTAGGGATGTATTTTATTCTAAGAGTAAGGTAAAGCAGCATTGATGGACCCTTTCCAGTGAGGGATGTTATATATGAGTGTACACTTCCATGAGCAGAACTTGCTATGTGGAATACAAAGTGACTTGCTAAAGCCCAAACTTTTTTTAAAGATGTTTTATTTCTCCTTGGCACTCTGGCCAGAGAAGTGGCTCCACAGGGTCCATTTGGATACTAAATAGGAAGAGGTAAAGAGAAGACTGTAAATGGCTTGTCAGTTGTTTTCCTGAGCCTTACTTGGGCATGTGAGAAATAATGTGTCTGACTCTGTTCTGAACAGATGGATGCAGAATCCTGGCCACCAACTGTTCACATTCAGACTCAAGTAAGCTTCCTCCAATGTGGCTGCTTTCCCCAGGGCGGCCCACAGCTGGCCGGAAATGGGCACTCCCTAACAGCAAGCTGGTGACTATAATTTTACAGCCTGTTTATGGATGCTGTTTGGGTAGAAAATCATTAAGCTACCTTTCCTGCTTCCAGTCATTGTAGCCGAAAGTTAAGATGCCAGCACTGTTTATAATATCTGCTAGCTGATCTGTGGATGATGCTGTTATCAGTTGACATGGGAAATAATAGTTCACCACAACAAGTACATATTGAAATTATGCCTTTGAAAACATCCTCCCATGAGACAAGCAACCAAACAAAACTCCTTCATTTCAGATGGTGCACATTGATTTCGTTTATGTAATTGTTATTGACTTTAGTCTTCTAATATTGATATAGTTTGGTTGTGTCCCCACCCAAATCTCATCTTGAATTATAGTTCCCATAACCTGCATGGTTCATGAGAGAGATCCTGTGGGAGGTAATTGAATATGGGGGTGGTTTCTTCCATGCTGTTGTCATGATAATGAGTGAGTTCTCATGAGATCTGATGGATTTATAGGCAGCGGGGGACTTTTCCACCTTTTGCTCAGCACTTCTCCTTGCTGCCACCATGTGAAGAAGGACATGTTTGCTTCCCCATCCACCACGATTGTAAGTTTCCTGAGGCCTCCCCAGCCATGCTGAACTGTGAGTCAATAAAACTTATTTCCTTTAAAACTTACTCAGTCTCAGGTATGTCTTTATTGGCAGCATGAGAATGGACTAATACAAATATTATTGTACTTACACTCTTACATATGAGGGTACTTAGAAACAAGACTGAAATAAGTGATATTTTCCATTATGCATTCTTCTCACAGAATGCAACCTATAGATTAAAAATACATTTAAAAAATCAAGGCCAGAATATCTAAATATTGTTCTCTAGGAGTTAAATATTCTAGGTACATGGTAAGAGTCACTCAGTATATGCTTGTTGATTAGCAAATTGTTCACACATCTTTGAATACTTCTTAGCTTCTTTAAGTCTGAGTTTCTTTGCCTATTCCCAGTGCTGGCACAGTTCCTGGAATATAGTAGATGTTCCATAATCACTTGCTGAATTGAATTTACGTAATTACATTCGTTTCAGGAATAAACATAAAAAGGTGCATGAGTGCGTGTGTGTGTGTGTGTGTGTGTGTGTGCATGAGTGTGTCTTAACAAAAAGGTGTATCTCTTTTAAAATTCCTACCAAAGTGTTTTAATAATATATACTCAGCCACTGGATAACTGTTGTATAGAGATTGCATGCACCATTACAATCTGTTATATTTACTTTGGCCATTCCAAAACTAGCAATTTAGTTTGCCTTCTTCCTGATATTCATATCTGAAATAGAAATTCTTGGTCCCATGAGCAAAACTACTTGAAAATTCTGCAATTTTGTGTTGCTTAAATGTGTCTGGGGAATCTCTAAAGTTGAATAAATGCCTTAGGAAATCTACCTACAATAGCAGGATATGGGCGTCTAGAAGCAGCAAATCAGTTCTTAGGAAACAGAGAAAAGTGACAGAGCCCTCTGTACTTTGGAATTAGGACTGGAAACAATGTTTTCAAGGAACTAAAGGGAGACAGGTGCAGACCAAATGGATTAAGGACACCAGAGAGCCACAGGAGACCGGTAAGGAAATGAGAGGGAAGAATGTGAGAGAAAATACAGCATAAAAAGGATCTGGTAGAGAATTTCTAAAAAACGAATACAGGGACTGCTCGATTGCCAGGATAAAAACAAGCTCAGTCTCCTTTCATAAAATCACTAGGTATCAACTCTCCCTTTCTCCCAGTATCTTCAAAAACAGTAACAAAGGGACAGTAAGGATGAGAGTGAGATAATCATGGTTTTAAATTCATATTCCGTTTCCATGGCTGTTAGGGTTTGTCCACATCCCATTTGGCCAGCATTCCCTTTTTGTTATGGTAAGTTCTTTTCTGAATCGCTGCTTACAGAATTTCCTTAAACTCAGAGTGTTTTGAGTCGTTGGAGAAGTGACTAGCCAGATGTTTTTTTTTTCTCCTTCCAGAACTCTTTGGTAAGGATTGACGTGGTATCCTGAGTCTTCCTTCCACAGTTCAGGGTTTGGGCAGTTCATAATGTGAAATCTTGCATTTATTTAGAATATTTAAATATATATATGTTTATACAAATACTTATTTTTGTTTTGTAGGAGGGTAGTTGGTTTTAGGAAGGTTTCGTTTACATACCTGTGGCAAGAGGCAGGTTTTATACCTATCCTTTCCTTACTGCTTTCTCAACAGCCCCACAGAGAGCCGGTGATAGAAGCAGTTGCTATGCCCCTACAGAGCCGGGTTGTCATCTTTTGTTTCTTTGTTGGCAAGGCAGTAGGGCGGGACGGGAGGGGGAGGGTGTTGAGCCGCTGGGATCCAAATGATTCCTGCCTGAAGCTGAAGACTGTGTTGGAAAAGGGACGATGGGAATAAACGTGCTCTTGATTCCCTGATTCTTCCCCCTAGAGTGTTCAGCTCTTTGTATTTCCTCTCCTTGGTAGTGTGATGGTCTTACAATGCTCCCCTCTTTGCAAATACCTGTATCAAAAACTGGGAAAATGGGAACACACGGTTCAGAGAACTCCCCCTGGCGTCACTCTATACTACCTCTTTTTCTGAAACTGAATCTGGTTCCCCGATCGGAGCGCAAAGACCATCCAGCCTGGAAACCGACCTTGGGCTGCTGCCACCACCCAGGGAGGGGAACAGTGGGAAGCTTTGGTGTTCACCCACAGCGCCAAGAGTAACTCTTCACCGTAACTAGCACCAGCCATGACTCCAAGCCTGCCTTATTGTAACCTCTAGCGGGTTCCCAACTTGGCAATAGCTTCTCGCTATCTTGTCCCTGTTCTTGAGGAGGAGAATTTAAAACGTGCGTGCACACACACACATTCACAAACGCCCTTCTTTCTTCACTTAAAAAATGATCAGTAAACGTCCTTTGCCCGAAGAATGTTCGACTCTTCACGCTTCTCTTTTCTTTACTTAGAGGTCAGCAGCCCCTTGGGAGCACACGCGGTGCTCCCCTGCTGCTCTGCACGCCCCCTACCTGCCTACGGCTGGGGTGGCGCCGCGGGGCAGGAGGCTTGGGAATCCGCTAGACTCCTATTTCTCCGGTTGGTGCAGCTCCCCTGGCTCGACACTTGGTATCTCCCACGGTCCTGTTCTCTCTGGGAAGCCGGAAAGAAGGCTGCTGTGGGCGTTGCCACCACCCCTCCCGGAACTGGAGCCTGCTCCAAGGGGGCATCTCTGCCTCCTACTTCAGACTCACATCTGGCCAAGCCGTGCAGATGTTAGCCGCTGGAGAGTGCCTCCATGCGAAGCGCCCCAAGTCCCGAGCATGCCCAGTCGGACTCCTAAGGCCGCCGACACTAGTTTCTGGGAGTGTAGATTCCGCTTCTCCGCTTTTTCCAGGAAGCCGAGGAGGGTGGGGAGGGAGGGATCCAGGGCTTGGGGCAGCGCGCTAGGTTCGCCAGAGTACGTGCCCCGTGCCAGGCTGGGTGAGGGGCGGAGTCGTTCAGGGAGCCCAGGAACCCGGGCGGCTAGACAGGGCAGGATCCCTTAGCGTTCGCCTCTTCCCCCAACCACCTTCAGGGGGACGTTGTTACTACTGATCTGATTCGCCGCCAATAGGCTGCAAGTGGCCGGCCGGCCTTGGCGCTCTGGGGTCACACTGTCAGCTGGAGGCAGTCGGCGCTGCATTCTCAGCGACCGACACACCAGAGCTTGTGGGTCGCTTACTCACCATATTTACGGGCTTTTGGCTTTTCTGGAAGGCAGGGGAGAGGAGAATAAGAGAAGGAAACCAAACAATTTCTCTCCCTTCTCCCCGCTTTTTTTTTTTTTTTTTTTTGCCAAAGTTACTGGCGAAAGACTTCGCAGTCTAAGTCAGTCCTGAGGCTTTGCACATAGAAGCAGTGATTGTGCTCCTGTGTGTGCGTGAGCCCGCGTGTGTATGCACGCGGATGTTTGTGTATGTCAAGACCAGGAAACACTGTCCCAGGCTGATCCTGGGGTTGACAAATAACTCATCAGAACCCCCCCACCCCACCCTCACCGTCAGGAAAAAGTAAATAAAACAAACAAACAAAAAAAAAACTGTGAGTCATGTGAGTCACTTAGCCAGGAATCTACCCACTGTGGTAGGAAATCAAAATTTTTTGATCCACATTTCCTTCCTCTGCTCCCATATCCAGCTTTCTCCTTCCCCTCTCCACACTATAACGCCCAGATCTTTCTCATTTCGACTTCCCTTCCTCTGCCCGATACCTGCTCCTTAAGCCCTACTCCTCCTTCTCCTCCTCCTCCCCCCCCCCCCCCCCCCCCCCCCCCCCCGCCGCGGCTCAAACCCGGAGGCTTGGGGGAAAGGGGAAAAAAAAAAAAAAAAAAAAAAAAAAAAAAAAAAAACTCGGCTGTGAAGCTGTCAAACCGGGCATGCTCAGTAGACAGGGCAGGTTTTTTGGTCTCGAGTAGCGGAGAAACATTTTTTGCACCACCGCGACCAGCCTTAGAGCGCGGCGGCGGCGGCCACGGCAACATCAGCCCAGCCATCAGCGGTGCAGACGCCCAGCACCCGGGAGCGCGGCGAGCTTCGGCTCAGCCCGGAGTTCACCTCCGAGTGCCCCGGGGGCTGAGCTCACCCCTTCTGCTCTCTCACACACGAACACTCTCTTTCACACACACAGACCACACACACACACACGTATACACACTGTCTCGCACACACATACGATCCCGGGCGCAAGCACCCTTCTGGCAGCGGTCGTCCGCTGGTGCAATAGTAGCCAGGTTCGGTTCCTGCCTCCGGCGGCCGCCGGTTTAAAGCACCGCCGCCAGCAGCCGGAGGAGAGCAATGCGGGGGCCCGAGCGGCAGCTCGAACAGTAATGTGGATTTACAGTCATTTCCCGCAGGAATCGGCCGAGACGCCCTAAGTCCCGGGCATTGACAGCGCCCGGCGGAGCTGAGCACCTGGCGAGGGGGCGGGGGAACCGCACCTGGGGACGCAGCCGAAACTTGCGCTTGGAATAGGTAGGTGCGTTTCTCCTGGCTCCCACTTCATTCCTTCTCTCTCCCGCCCGCCACCCCCAACCTTCTACCCCAAGGACCACAGGCGAACTTCGGCCGGAGGCTGCAGGCGGCGGATGGCGGCTCCTGGCTGTGGGCGGCCGGTTAAGTCCGCTCTGGGACTCCTGCCCGAGGTGGCAGAGTCTCCGCATCGTTCTTCTCCCGGTCTCCGCCGGCCCTGGGGCTCTGGACCATCTGGGCCAGAAGGGAGGTCGGCCTTGTTCGCAGTTCAAGCTTCCAGCCGGCCCTGGGGACGCTGCCCTTCGAGGGCTCGCGGGGCTTCCCAGGCGGCACTTTTGCCAACCAACTCCTTCAGTTCCGAGAGGGATCCCCCTCGCCTTGGCTCTCGCGGAGAGCCCAGGCACTCTAACAAGTGGACCTGGGTGCTTTGGGTGAGGGTGGGAGGCTCTGTCTTAAAAGAAAGAAAGGGGCGCTTCTCTGGCATCCCTCCAACCCTGGAGCGTTCGCCCGGGGCTCTGCCACTGGGGTCCAGGTCCTGCTGTCTCCCTAGAGAAGATATTCAAGGGCTAGGACGCACTTTAGTACCTGTTTGCTTGTGAATTTCTATTTGAACCTCACTCAGGGAGCCCGGGTTCCCGAGGGAAATACAGGACCTCTTTCTAACCTACGCCGCCTTCGAGGGCTCCACCCGATGCTTCCTCCCTATACCTTTGTCAATTTTTGTCAAAAGAAACTATCATTATAAACCAGGCAGTGCTCCGGGAGCCGTCGGTGTTGACTTTAACCATGCGCTCCAATGCGCGGGTTTGTGTGTTTTCGCATTTCATCCGGAGACGTGGTCCCTAAATTCAGCAGTGGCCGGCGCATCTGCCGAGCGCCAAGTACCCGCTAGGCATGCTTGGGGAAATATAACCTCACTTTCTTCCACTCCATAACGGGAGGGTTGCCAATTTAGTTTTAGGATGCTTTGCCTAGAGGCGGAGAAGGGGAGATTGTTAGCGCTACTTGGTGAGTGGATGTGTTTGCAGTCAGGAGTGTATTTAAACATTTCAGTGAACCCGATGCAGTCGGTTGTTTACAATTGCGGAGACAAACGATCTCACTCCGCTAGTAGATGTCTCCACGTCTGTGTCGCTACTGGGAGAGTACGGGCGGGGGCGGGGGCTGGTTTGCAGCTCGTACTCGCCGTCGGCAGCCTCGGGTTGAGTAGATCTGCATCACTGCTACTGGCGATATGCTAATAGGGGTAGAAAAGCTCTACATCTCCAATATGATACAATTGGACAGTAAACGTCGTGAACTTTACCGGTTATTTCCTGGTATGCCAATCTGGAGGTGTATTTGAGATGGCCCAAAGAAACACAAAGAGAAGTTCTCGGTGCCACAGAAAGGAAATTAGTAGCCATTTGGTTTTAGAGACCAAGAGGAAACGAAACATCCCAGTGGACTCTAATAGGTACTGTTAAATTAGCGTTTAATTGATTGCATTTGTGATAAGTATCATGGGCAGCTTCCTTCAATTTTAGACTCTTGTTATATGATTATAATTAACAAGCCAGGTAACAATGTACTGTGAGAATCAATTGCTACTCTTAACGTGTTTGAGGAGAACATTGCAAATGTCTGCTCTGTTATAATTTTTGGCTGAAATATCCCGGTTCATCTTCCTAGTCCGAAGTCTTCTGATCTAGAGCAGTGGATACTCCAGTGTTACCAAGAAAGGGTACAGTCTAAGAGGGAAAGGCTTAACAAATAAAATTAATGAGAAGACGATCCACACCTTTAACTTCTGCTCCATGATTACCCAGCATCTGCTTGCTTGCTCACCCCTGCCCCTTGCTCTTCATATCTGCAATGGGGAAAAATGAATCTTCATAAGGCATAGAAAGACCCTCAAATTAAATAACTGGAGAAATAGAATCCCAATTATGCCATTTTTGTTCAAGTTCATAAGACTATTATTTTGTGATGCATTAAATAATTTACTATTACAAAGTTGGGATTTTTAAGGGTAGTTAAAAGCTTTCAGGTATGCCAAAATAATGTTGAAAACTTTTCATGATAAAGAAAGTCACAATAGGCATTTTAAAAGGGATCAGGTAATTTCCAAAATAATTCCATGCTCTAAATGTTATTTAAAAGTTTTCAGGTTGTTCCCCAGAATGTTTCTGAAAAACAGGTGTTTCTGTAAAACAACTCTATGAAGAAATTTTAACATTTTCATAATAAAATAGTAGAATCCAGTCCTGAGAACAATGTCAGATACATATAGTACAAAAATAAATAAATATTTTTGAATACATGAAGTAGTATTTTCCATTAGGTTTAGGTCCCAATTATGAATTAGGAATAGTCATGTCATTTGACAAAATATACAGTGAGGCTAAAGGAAAGAATGTTTTGTAGAATCATTGTGCTATAAAGGTGATTGAGATTTCAAATATTCAAACATATAGGTGTATTAAAATAAAATTATATTATACATAACTATCATCCCATTCAAAGGCCTAATTCAGTCTGAATACCCTAGAAGTCTTAGTGTTTCAGTTTAGCTATTATATGTGTAAGTAATACCGACGTAATCAGTTTCCCTCACAGTCATTGCACCTTTCTGATACCTTTACTACAAAGATTCTTGCTGAAGTAGAACAGTCTAGCATTCAAGTTTATTCTGTACAATATTACCTTAAATTGTCAAACTGCAAAACATTCCCGATAAATTGTTCCTGAAAACAGAAAATTAGTGGAAATTTATTTTCCATGACAGCCTTAAAAACTTCAAAGTGGTAAGAAATTTTAGTGTTAATTAACAAAACAAAAAATTTTCACATTCTATGTTAGAGATAGACATTTTGAATTCATATAATTTTTCCTTGAAGATTGCTTTTCCTAAGTCAGTCAGTTTCAGATTTAACTACAGTTATCAAGTACTTGGTATAGATTATGGTTAATAAGTCCCCTAAAGTTTCCCAAACAAGTTAATTATTATGATTTATGCATTTATTTACTTGCTTGTAAATGACCAGAGGTCAAAAGAAGACCAGTACTTTGAATACCTGACTCAGTGATTTTTTTTTTTTGATGAAAACAAATTTTCTTATAGTACTCATATTTTTTTTCTCTCTCTCATACGCACACACATACACATGGAAACAATTGCTTGTGATTGCCTGGCATCAGATATAAACTATGTATGATAGCTTTATTAAAATTATATATATTTCTTAAATTGCTGTGGATTTTAACCTCAAAAGTAATAATCCATGCATACTTAAAAAGCTTCCCATCACCATGTAGAAGAAAGGTTTAAACTGGATTCCTAGTATGACTACAGGCAGATAAAATATATTATGAGATACAGAATTTATCACTTCTGACCAACAGCATATACCCACGACTGGAAGTATAACTGCTGATTATAAAAATTAAAAGGAATCAAATTTCAGAAATGCTCCCATATACCACAATTGCTTTAAATCATCTGCAGATTCTGAGTATTAGATTAAAACACTATTTTGAATGGAAATTACTATTATTTTTCCTTCCCCAAAAGGTGAAATATTCTGAATCCTGTCTTAATATATTATTTTTATTCCTGTTTTACATTGATTTTTTTTTTAGAACAGAGGAAAGTAAATATCAAATAGAAACAGCTAGAACCATGCTTAGTTGGAGCAGGTGAATGCTATAAAAGGCTTCACACAGCTTTTGATTATTCTTAACAACCTTGATGGCCAACCATAGGTGTCTGTTCAGTATTCGGTGCTCTGTTATGGCAATTTATATAATGTATAGAGATTTTGTAGTTTGCTAGACGTGCTGTGGTACAATTTAGCAAGACCAGCGAAATTGCTTACATTTGGAACCCATGAAAAATAGGGCCGAGGATACTGGAATATGATGGCATAGACTGAAAATTATTATATAACAGTATTTATATCAATTGCACTGCTAACATTTCTGTATACAAATTAAGCTAATTTTAATTTGAGAAGTAAATATTTTTACAGGTGATGTGGATCCCTAATACTGTAAAATAGTAACAGAGTCCAATAAATGAAGTCTATTAGATTATTATGTAACTTTAGGACCCATTTCAAGGCCTGGAAGTATAATCTTGGATAATTTACAATTTAAAAAATTATTCTAAATTGTACTTCCTGTCTGAGCCTCCACATTAGGTAAACAATAGCATATGGTAAAACATGCATGTATACCAACTAACCACTGCCTCTTGGATGATGTTTTTAATGTGATGTAATGATTCTGAATTATTGGATTTTCTACCCCCCCCATTCTAAGAGTTGAGAAGTTAATTGGAAAATGGACACATGAAAATGTGTTAGAAATCTCTTTTCACATGGGTGGATCATCTCCTGTGAAGCTCGTACTTGGAGTTTATGTTTATGATAGATATGTGCCAAGGTTAATATTTTTTCTCTGGTTACTTATGACAAATTTTTATGGCAGTATCTAGGTGACACCCAAATATGTGTGTACACCATTCTATCAACCATCCAGCTGTTTGGGGTGACAAACATCTGGTTGACAAAATTTTTTACTTAGTTTCTGAGTGTTTTGGAGTCACTTAATAGGCCGATGACCCTTAATATCCATGTCAAAAGAGAAAGAAAAAATAAAATAAAGCACTTTAAAATACATGTAAAATATCTTAAACACTCTTGGGTTACTATAAATGCCCAATGAATTAAAAGCCATCGTGAATCTACAGCCTTCTATAAAATGTATAAGGAGATGTTGCTTTTATTCTCCAGCAATTACAGGAACACACTGACCTTTACAACAAGCCAAGAAATTAAAAACTTTAAGTTAAATTCTACACCCTACTCCCCCTGCCCTGCCCCCACCCCTGCCCCCTGTACTGATTCATTAGTTTAAAGAAATTGACTTAAGGGGCTTGATACATTGGCTTCTTAAAATTTCCTGTACCTCATTTTCCACTGATTCTGCTACTGCCATGGAAACTAGATGGGACAGACAGC